CAATCTTCCTCCTCCTCCTCCTCTGAACTTGCATCTAGAGATGAGGCCAGAGGCAGGTCCATGACAATGAGATTAATTTCAGTTATTTGAAAATTTCAATTCCCCATACTCCCATTTTAATTCTTAAATTAGATTACAATGAATGTTTGATAACATCCCAGGGACAACTCAAAAAGTGTCATTTTCAAACCTATTAAACATACAACGAGCAACACAGTATTTCCTCTATATTCTTTGTATACTGGTAAATTATGAAGGAGAGAGAACATCTCTGACTATTGATGAAATTTGAACATGTGTACAATAAATCATGTTCATTCAGAAATATCTACATCAAGGTGAGCACCTACTGCAGTTTTCCCTCAAATTCTCCAAATGTGATGAATAACCTGTTTCCCCAAAAATAAGACCCAACCGGAAAATAAGTCCTAGCATGATTTTTCAGGGTGCTCGTAATATAAACCCTAACCCCAAAATAAGTCCCAATTAAGATTGTCAGCCAGATGGATGCATTTAGTACCGTATGTCCCCAAAAATAAGACCTAACCAGAAAATAAGCCCTAATGCATCTTTTGGAGCAAAAATTAATATAAGACCCGGTCTTATTTTGGGGGAAACATGGTAATAACTTTAATATCACTGCCCAACTAAGCTTTCCATTTGGAGAACCTATCCAACCTCATCAGCAATATCATCTTTAAAAAAAAATATTAGGTAAATTAAGGCAAATTAAACCAATGTCACAAAGCCTGTATTTTCCCCTTTTGTGCTCTTTGCAAAATTTGTATGCAATTTGCCACTGCCACCCAAGCATTTCAATTCTTTTTTTAAAAAAATGAAAGAGTAAAACTGTTCATCTTTTGTAATCCTGGAAAAGAACTTTGCAAGACGTGAATCTTTGTAAGATGTGAACACTGTGAGACTTTTAAGAGACTGTCTAAGAATTTGTATTGACTTCCAACTCAATGATGGCTCACAGACTGAGGTCTCTCAGGTTTCAGCTGGGAATAAGACACATCTGTTTCATGAGATAGAGCACCAAGAATTAATACGTTTTCTGAAACTGCTCAGAGCAACCTTTTGATATGTTATTTTTCTCTGCTTTTGTGAAAAAAGAGCACATCTACTATTTCTGTGATTCACGTTACATTGACATTATCATTCTTAATGAGATGTGTAATAAGTATATCAACTTATTGCTGAAATACAAGATCTTTATTTGCTCTGTCCTTTGAAATAAGGTACTGTGCTAAAATGTTTAGGGTAGACACTTACTTTACTGTAGTTAGAGAATATCCTGTAAAATCAATACTACTTAACTTGATTAAACTACATCCTGTAATCAGCAGTTCTAGTTTGGATCCATCTTCTAATAAACAAATGAGCAGGCTGAAATGAGCATACCATCTCTTTCAAAATTGTTGATGCTATTTGGCAGGATTGCTGCTCAAATAAAGTTCCATAGTGATTCCTTCATCAAGAGCCAAGAATTTACTGACGTACAACCAAAATTTCAACTTTTGTTAAGTGAGTTTCACCACCTTTCTTCCCACCGTTAAGTGAATCTTTTGAAGTTGTTACATTAGTAACCTGGTTGCTAAGTGAATCTAACTTCCCCTTTGATTAGAAGGCTGCAGAAGGGGATCACATAATCTCAGGACACTGCAAATGACATAAATATGAGTCAATTGATAAGCATCTGAATTTTGGTCACATAACCATGGGGATACTGCAACGGTCGTACGTATGAAAAATGGTCATAAGTCACTTTTTTCAGTGCTATTGCAACTTTGAATAGTCACTAAATGAACTGTTGTAAATCAAGGACTACCTGTATTTTAAATCTATGAAAATTCCTTAGTGTAGTTTTCCAGAGGTTTGTAGAAGTATTGTCTCTAGTTCCATTATGTGACTCCCTTTTGCATTTGTCATAGGTAGAACGATAAATTCCCTAAACAGAAATAAGTGCACATCAAATACAGCTACCTTTCAGTGATTATGAGCTTAGGAAACCCAACTCCAGAACTTTACCAGAAAGTGAAAACTGGAATTCAGAAAGAATAATAATGTGTGATTAAATGTTGTTTAGTTCGGATCTTAATGTAAAGAATTGTTATCTCCAAGTTAGCCTTCTATGTGGAAATAAATGAATCAAAATATTATTTAAATAATATAAATAGAAATAATATTATTTCTTCTAAAGTGGCTTATTCATTTATTTCTCAAGGAAAATGAAAAATTGCTCACACTTACTGCAGGTCAACAAAGTTGAGAAACAGAATTTTTAAAAGGTAGAAGATGAATCTTTACTAACATCTCTAAACTCTGAGGAAGGGGTGTTGGGGGAAAAAAATCCAGTCTGGTTCCAAGCCGGGAGAAAGACATTGGAAATAAAATGAAGGCAGGCTGCAGGAAAGAAGATCTCTATTTATTTGGTAGCCAGAAACTAGTGACAGCAGCATGTTTCTGGGGTGGCTGACAAAATGGGATTGAGAGTAGGTTGGGCTTTTATACATTCTTCAGGGCTTTGTGATTGAGATGCCTGTTCCTGTGCAATATGTCCTTCAATATTTTAATGGCTGTTGCCAGATTCCTATGGGATCATGGCTGGCTCTACAGGCAAAAGGGCAAATGCAAATCCTAGGTGTTTGTCTGAGCTAATCTTGTCAGTTTTGGCTTGCCTATTGTGTTGCTTTTTTGGAGTCTCTTTGCTTATGAATAGATCGGCCCAGTCTTTCTGAATGGGTACAAAATCTCCATTCCTAAACACCAGCTTCTTCAAGCTTCTGCTTGAGGATGTTTTCCTATGGCAGGAAGACTGGGGCTGCTTTCTACCTTGTTAAGATTTTTCTCCATTTCTCCTGTAGAGGAAATATTATATCCTGTCTCTTTTTAATATTAAGAATAAAGAATATTTTAATCTGAGGAGGGGCGCTTCCTAGGGGGGGGTTACCAATTGTTCAGAAAAAAAGCAGCCCTTATATTTTTAAACTCGGAGGTATAATTTTTCACTGCTTGGATATTAAAAGTTTTCACTTGTTGATATTTGCAGGTGACTCTTCTAAATGTAAGAAATAAAGGTTGCTGAAGCAACAAATGACACTCTATTGGCAACAAATCACAGTTCCAAAAGTATCTGTTTAGTTTCTTCAAGATATAAACTTCGGATCCCCAAACCTCAGGCCTTGTGATCATCTCTAGCTCAGAAAAGATGGCTAGAGATGATCACAAGGTTGTGAGTGTTGTGAAGATTGTGAAGGTTCAAGGTTGTGAAGTTGCTTTTGCAACATTGGTGCAATGGCTGCTGTTCCAATGCCTCTAAAATGGAGAAAATTCTGACTTAACATTTTATAAACAAAAATAATATCTATTCTTCAAATTGTTTGATGATCATGGTTGTCTGATATCTAATGCTTTACAAATAGCACTTGATGAAATGCTAATTCTTAGAGGGACCATATATTTTAAAGATGGGAATACTACAGTATAGTAAAAATCTTTTTTCCCCTCTTTTTTCAATTTTTTAGATTTTCTCCTTAAAATATATGATTTAAATTCTTGTATTCAGCTTCCAAAACTTCAAGCAGTTAATTATTCAGTCCTTCAGCTTTATACAGTTCTTTTCAAACCACACATATATGCATCCACATACACACAAGGCCACACGAGTGCACAGACACTTGTCTTTTAAACAAATAAGAAAACCATAGGTCACCGAATCCAAGAATATTTCTTATGCTGTAAATTTGGATGATTTATGACTGTGTCCTCTAAAAAACGCAAAAGCTTGCAACTAAATATGAACTGCATAAAGAATGCTTAAAGAATATTTGCCAGAACTCACAACTGAGGAGTAAAAAAAAAAAAAGCTGCTTGAATATGCTCATATTTCTCTTTGTTAGTTCTCAGTAATTTGCATCAAATATAGCAGAGGTTGCATCTCATAAAATGTGGCAAAAAGACTTTATGAAACTTCTCTAATAGCAACAACAGCTTGAGATATGCTCTGAATGACATCATACAAAACAAACTTCCCAGCAAATTGGACTAGAAAGTTGCTTTTTTGGAGTGGGGGGACTAATATTGGGCTATTTGTCTGAGAACTTGCTCTCACATAAGGTGAGTATCATGATGTGTTTTTACAAGTGAATTAAAGCTGCCCCACACTGTATAGGGAGGCCCACAGTACAACATGCCAGAATCCATAGCAGAGTCAATCCAATACCAGACAAGCAGCACTGAAGAATTCTATTGCCAGTGTTCAATCATAACGTCTCTTGATTGAAGCAGCCTGTTTCATCTTGCTCCAATGTAGGGCCTGCCCTCCTCTGCAGTGTAAAAGAGGGACTCTAAACTCTGGTTTTAGTTTAGCATACCCTTGGTTTGTAATCATTTGTGAAATCGTTAACAAATGAAAATGAAAATCACATTTTCACATCTGGAGAGCAGCAAGTTGCTACATAACTTCAGAGGCTTGAAATGCCTTTCTTCCTACACAAGACCACTCTTAGCTCAGGTTTATATCACATGTATAGCAGAGGTGGGTTTCGGTGGTGGGTTGCCCCCGGTTCGGACCAGTTCGCAAGAACTGGTAGTAAAACCGGCAGGAAGCTCTGCCCACTGACCTGGACGTCATCATGGGTGACCTGCGCATGCGCAGAACAGTGCGTGCAGGCGCGATGCAAACCGGTAGTATAGGTAAGTAGACCCCCCCCCCTGTCCTCCTGCGCGCACTCTCGCTTCACACACAAACGCACCTTCTGAACTTGCGCCTGGCCTTCCGTGCATGCGCTTTGCTCATGCACATGTCTTCCACACATGCGACTGGCCTCGAAAACATGGCTAAATAGGACAGCATAGCGCCGGGGCAGGTGGGCAGGCCCACCCGCAATCTCCGCTACTGGTTCACCTGAACCATTCCGAACCGGCTGAATACCACCACCGATGTATAGCCTGACCTTCTTAGAAGAAATTCAGTATAAAATATAGTCTCACCTTCCTTAATTCAAACATATTTTCCTAAGACCACTTAGCTCTTTAATTACCCACCAGTTGACACCAAGAGCATGTTTGTTGTAGATCTGAAGTACTTTTCCTGCTTTGGATCTGATGCACTGCACACCTTTATGTGTTAAGTCTGATTCCTGGCACTATTTATCTTCTATTGGTGAACATCTAGGAGAAGATTCTTCTTCTTCAGAATATGATGTCTAAATGAGAAAACGAAGGGGAACAAGGAAAACTCAATAAAGTACAGACTTGAAATTATGTACAAGTTCCAACTTAGCTGTTTTTAGCACTCCCTATTTTATTACCTGTTTTCACTTATTACCTTTCACATTTTGATATTATTCTGTTTTGGAGTTTGGTCTTCTTTAGACTAACATAAGCTAAGAATGTTTAAAGAAAATTTTAAATTCAAAACCCTTTTTTCTCAGTGTAATTCAAAGAGAATTCTTTTGACTGAAAATCCTATGTGACTTAAAGTATGGCTGTATAAATAATAGTAAGAGAGTGGGTTGGGGGCTTCTCCTACCTTACTGTCAGCAGGCTGTCAATTGGCTGTCTTGTGCAGGATGACAAACTCCCTATGGAGTAGAGATTTGTCCTTAGATCTGGCAGCTGTGCTTGTTTGCAAAGCATTTTCCCAACAAAATTGCTGAAACTCACCAAAGACTTGGCTGTTAGTCAGCAAAGCTCATGGTGGGAATATCTTGCCATGTTAATTCCTTCCATCCTAAAATGGATAGATGATAGGATGTCCCCAGAAACAGGTGGACTTGTTTTATGCTCTTCTTGACTTTTCCCTATGGGTTTTGAGGAAGAGGATAAGGTGATCTTTGGAACTGCCTCAGGAAATGGATATGGTGTTCTTTGGACTACCTCTTGTGGGCTTAATTCCTGTCCCACCTGGTTTAACCTGGGAGATTATCAATATTGTGCTGAGGGAGAGGTGAAGCAAGCTGCCTCTTGAAAAGCCCTCCTTAGAGATCTGATGAATTTTGACTACACCTATATAGCTTCTAAATTTCCCTTTGAAAAGGCATGGCCGCAATTAAGAGTACACTTCATGAAATGAATTACCCTTTTCCCTTTCTGTTCAAGTTCAGACCTGGCCATGAGATGGAAACAGTATTGACTACTCTGATTTATTTTCTTCATTCACTCCTGGATAGGAAGTGTTTGCCTGAACTACTTCTTCTGCACCTCTCCCTGCCCTTTGCTATTATTGACCATGGTAACAATATGGACTGCCGGTGAAATTGAGGGCATCAATCTTCAATGATTCTGTTTCTTCCTAAGTAACTGCTTTCAGTTGTGTATAAAGAAAATTTCACCCAATAAGGTTTCTTTCTCTAATTTCTGCTTTTCAACATCAAGGTGAAACCCCTAGGAGATGTCATGAAGAAGTTGAGATTGAGATTTTATTAATATGCTGATAATACTCAGATATGCATCCTCACCCTGGCTTATAGAGTCTTGATCTAGTGCCTGGAGAGACAGAATGGATGGAACAGGCTATTTTCAACTCGACCTACCTTGTGGAGATGTTGTTGTGGAGAAAAGTTTGTAATTCTTTGCTGCCATTTAGTGGCGAGAAACTTACCAATATCAGTGCTGTGGATGAGAGTCTGATGGAAGATCACAAGGGTAATAAAGGAGGAACTGAGCAATGGCAGAGTAGATAGCCGATGCAGAGGAGGAAGAGCTAAAGTCTAGAGCAAATTAACAGGAACAAGAAGGATGTCATGACAGCTTGGCAGGGGATATAAGTGCAAGAGCTTTGCAAATACAAGCTGTTTTGGTGATGGGTATATCAGCTGTTCAGTGATGGATGGATGGATGTGTTGAGTCCTCGCAGTGCCGACGCCTGCGGACTCCATTGTTGCTGCCCTCCTGCGATTGGCTAAGACGTGCTGGACTGCCGAGCGGGAAAAACACACCCCTATGATTGGACGCTCTATTCTGACAGCTCGCTTTTTAAGCAGCTGTCAGGCAGTTTGTGTGGTTCTCTCTTGAGGTATTCGTTGTACTAAGAGTTATCTGTTGTGGTTTTGATAAAGTTTGGTTAGCCTAGCCGTGAGTCCATGCCTTTATTTTAGGACAGAACAATTGGCGACAAAGGTGGGATCGGTGACAGCTGCGGCAGTTCTGTAGAAGCAGTACCTGTCACTCACCCACTACTGACCATGTCAACATTTTTGCCGGTGTTTTCCCCGTTCGTCCCATCGGCGGAAACATGGGACACTTATATGGAACGTTTTGAGTGCTTCCTTCAAGCGAACGTATTGACTGATTTGTCCAGCGCTCAGAAACGGGGCTTCTTCCTCAGCTCCTGTGGAAGTGAGATCTTCGGAACTGCCAGGGCTCTAGCCGCCCCACAACAAGTGTTTGACGTTCCGTGGGACATGTTATTAGAGAGACTTTTCTCTCCCCACACCGTCTCGTATTGCACGCCGCCATGCTTTTTGGCAGCGCTCACAGTTGGAGGGGGAATCTGTGAACGACTACATGGCCTCCCTACGTTCCGCAGCACTCCACTGCGTCTTTCTCCCCCACACCATCTCGTATCGCCCGCCGCCATGCTTTTTGGCAGCACTCACAGTTGGAGGGGGAATCTGTGAACGACTACATGGCCTCCCTACGTTCCGCAGCACTCCACTGCGAGTTTCGTGACTTGGATGAGATGCTGTTGGATCAGTTGGTCTGCGGCACCAGAGATTTAAAGCTGCAATGGCGACTATTAGCACGGTCTGAATTGACACTCCAGGTAGCCCTGGACGAGGCCAGGGCCGCTGAAATGTCCGGCCGCTCTGCCGCTGAAATCCAGCGGTTCCAAACGCCCTCGGCAGCCGCTGCGAAGCCTCTGTCCATCCATTACGAGGGGGCTGGCCTGCTGGATTCCTCGGACGAATAGAGAGAGGTGAGCCGCCTCAGAGCGACTCGTCGGAAACAAGGAGCGGCCGGAAAAATTCTGAAGTTCGCCCAAGACTCTTGTTTGGGCTGCAGTGGCAACCATCATAGAACCGACTGCAGATTTAAGACCATGATTTGCCGCCGTTGCGGCAAGAGGGGCCACCTATCTCGGGTTTGCAGGGCACCCAATCCTATGGCCGTCCCTCCTACTGCGCCTCCACTAGATCGCCGCCGGGGCCGGAGATCGACTGTTCGCCACGACGACTGTGTTGCTGTGACCCGTTACGAGGACCCGCCGGAAGTTGCTGTGAGCAATGCCTCTTCTTCTCCCGCTGCCAACAAACTTTTCCTCACGGTGATTTTGGAGGGATCGGCCTGCTGCATGGAGGTCGACACGGGTTCCTCCAAGTCCCTCATTGCCTGGTCTACCCTAACCAAATTACTGCCGGGGGTGTCCCGCCGGCGGCTCAAACCTTGCCCAGTCCTATTAAGGGATTATCAAGGGAAGTCCATTGCTACCTTGGGTTATGACACCTTCCAAGTGTCCTATCAGTCCTTCTCTGGCAAACTGCCGCTAATTGTCATAAAGGACAATCTACCTAGCTTGCTAGGCCTAGACTGATTTGCCGCGCTAAGGTTGACAATCTCGGGCATACACACAGTGTGCCCAGATGTTGCTTCCACACTAGCCCGTGAATTTGTGGATGTGTTTTCTGATCAGCTGGGCAAATATATGGGTCGACCCATATCTTTTAATTTGGACCCCCAGGTGGTGCCTGTTAGACTCAAACCACAAAGGGTGCCACTAGCCTTGCGCCCACGGGTGGACAAGGAGCTGGATAAGCTCATTGCCCAGGGTGTCCTTGTACCCGTAGATCACACGAGCTGGGAAACCCCCATCGTCATTCCTCTGAAGCAGGACGGGTCCATTAGGATCTGCGCCGACTATAAGTGTTCCATAAATAAGGCACTGCGAGGACTCAACAGGATGGATGGATGGATGGATGGATGGATGGATGGATGGAAGGAAGGAAGGAAGGAAGGAAGGAAGGAAGGAAGGAAGGAAGGAAGGTAGGTAAGTAGGTAATTCTTCACCTGAGTGGCTGATAGAACAAAAGAAGAATACAAATGAAACTGCTCTACAACCCTGTTCTTTAGGAGGGTGAACAGTGGTTAGGTTTCCTGTCAATTGTCAACTTGGACTAACAAACCAAGTCTGATTTGCTTGAGTTCATTAGTCAGAGCCTTGACACCAATAAAGATAAAGGTAAAGGTTCCCCTCGCACATATGTGCTAGTCATTCCCAACTCTAGGGGGTGGTGCTCATCTCCGTTTCAAAGCCGAAGAGCCAGCGCTGTCCAAAGACGTCTCTGTGATCATGTGGCCAGCATGACTAAACTCCAAAGGCGCACAGAACGCTGTTACCTTCCCACCAACGGTGGTCCCTATTTTTCTACTTGCATTTTTACATGCCTTTGAACTGCTAGGTTGGCAGAAGCTGGGACAAGTAACAGGAGCTCACCCCATTATGCAGCACTAGGGATTCGAACCGCTGAACTGCCGACCTTTTGATCGACAAGCTCAGCTTCTTAGTCACTGAGCCACCGTGTCCCTTAGGTGATGCCTAAGGCCCAATAGGTGGCAATAAAAGAGAGGGATAGCAGAGAACCCACCAATCACTACCCTAGACTATCTATTATCTATTTTATACTGACCAATCTCATTGTGCTACTGTGGTAAAGATAGGCAAAGGATTAGAGTGGTGTGTTTTTTTTAATACAGTCAACCTTCCCTCCCTTTCTTCCCTCCCATTCTTCCCAAGTCAAGAATGGCCAGGGACCACATGGGTGTATTTTTTCAGTGCCCCCGCTATTTTTGAAAGTCATCAAGGGTGTGGGAAAAGTCTTGATGAATGGTTTCTTTCAAAAGTGATGTCTCAATGGGAATTCCATCTGTTTCCCCCTGGCCTGTTTCCACCGGTTCCATCTTCATATTACAAGTCTAGAAACCTTGCCTAAACAGGAGCCACATCCAGCTGGTAAAGTGCCATTCCACCTCTCAGATTCCACTTACTAAGTATTGAGAAAATGAAATTAAGCAGCTTAAAAGACTGGCTCGTAAGATACAGCTTTAAGGTTGAGTAACACTAACTGCATACTAATCAAAGGCTTGCACACCCTTAAGATGATTATCATTGTTTTTTAAAATGTATGTCTTCCTCCCCTCAGCTACATATTTCTGATGACTGCTTTGGGAGCCAACTTCCCAAAGAAAATCCTTGGTGATCCCACAT